TGAAATCATGGCTGATTCCACAGGATTCACTGGCCCACTGGACACTTACATAGACCCTTCTCAAGCAGAACTGAAAGAATACAGTGAAACAGGTCAGGACGCTAGGAAATAGAAGAATCTCCTGCCAGCATTCTGCCAGGTCCCAACACAGACTACAGAGAGCTGGGGCAGCCCTCCTTGGTGGCTGTGGACATCACCCCTGAATTTAACAGTGGCTTACCTGGTTCAGCTGCTCTCTGTCCCTCAGGATGAAGCACGGGCACCTTTCCAACTCCACGGTGGGAATTCCCAAGGATTCATCCACAGTGTTTTCTTTCCCCTGAAGTTAGGCATACCTCACAAAATGGCCACAGAGCTACCAAACAATGTTCCTTTAAGTCCCAACACCGTGGCTGAGGCAGAAGTATGAAGAAGTATTGCTTTTTGGTTCCTTCTGGCAACTTCTCAACTCTGCCAGAAGTTACAAGTGGAATACTGGGCTTCCATGCATTCTGTTCCCTCCCCAGTAACTACACAAACACACTTTAATATCAAAGAAGTTTAATACGCTGCAATAAAATAAGCGCCTAGAAAAAGCTCATGGAATAGATGTCAATGTTAGAGAAATCCCTCCCACACATCCTCTAGCTCCATACCCCATCCCTCAAAACCAAACAAGAAAATCTGAAACAACAAAGGAAATCCTTCCAAGCTTGGATTTCAGCGAGGGCCCCTTTACCAATAACAAGAACACAGTTTCCTACATGGCCTAATAGGAAAGTAAAACACAGAAGCACAAAAAGCCCACAGATTTCAATATTTAAGAGACTTGGTACGTATTCAAAGTTAAAATAACTCCAACTTTTATAGCTATACATATTGTTTTAAAGCAACTTAATATATTTTTTAATTTCATATATACACTCTCAAAGGTTCTTCAGGTGAGGTATGTAAACATTGTCTAATGAAAATTTTTCAATGTTTCAAACCAACAAATTCACAGCATACATTGAATTTTCATCCATTAAAGACACAGTATTTTCCTACACTCACTAACATAATGGAAATCCAGGCCCAAGAGATACACGCCGATCATCCAGATTACCATTTGCAGAATTTCTCAATTCACTGCTTTTGGAAAGACCACCTTCACACAGGTTAGGAGCACACACTTGATACTGGGAAGGGGCTAGGCCCTCGGAGACTCTCTCCTTGGGCATCTGGATCACTGGCTAAGACTCACAAGACAGCAAAAAGGAGCACATCTGAACAACTACAAGATTGACCTCGGCAATGACAACACTGGGAGGAACCAGAAAGACCTTAAAGGAACGGTAGAGATTCATCTTAGAGCTCCCTGGATCCACAGCCGGATCAGCAGCCCCTGCCCTAATCTCATTCTGAAGGGTCGTGGCCTAAAAAGAATAAAAATCCCACACGGCACCTGAGCTTCAGTTAAATTGCATGGGCCTCCTATGCCCCCTTGGCCCCTGAAAGGCATTAACTCTAGCCTAAAGTAGGACCCTGGGCTGTGCTTTTCATACAGGTTGGGGTTGAATTTCTTAGTATCATAATGCATATGGGAAAATAATGCCATGAGTTCACAAAGACGACCAATGCCTGCACACAGGCATAGGCCAGTGACCTTGGAGGAGCTCAATTTTGAAAACTACTTGTTCCCTGAGGGTAAACAGCAGGCTTCTATTGAGATTAAGTGAGGCTAATAAGGGGATTATTTATTACAAGGTAATAACACTTGGGGAGCCTCAGGCCAGAGTTCTATTTTACTCCCACATAATCTACGACGCCCCTCCCCGCCCTCCCACCACCACAAGTAGTCACCTCCCCAATGACACAATATAGTCAGTCTCTTTCCTCTTGCTTGCTTTCAGGCTCAGCAATGGAAAGTTTTTTTTTTTCCTAACGCACCCACTTCAATCTAAAAAAACACTAGTGAAAAATTCCAAACACCATCATAAATACAAAAGAGAAGACATATTCCAAAAGCCTAAAAAACTACCTTATCTTATCCATGGTTATTTGGGTGTGGGGTATTTTTCATAAAGTTTAGGACGGTCACAGGAGAGGCTGCTAGAAAGCTGCTTAGAAAGCTGTGGAACTGGACACGCTGGGAGCCGTGGAAGAGGGACTGCCTGCCTCGCTCAGATCTAAAGGGTTTCACCGCAGACGTTTCAAACCCAGGCACAGAGGAGGATCACAGGAAACGGGCTTAGCTTTCAAAGGCAGGGTGGATAGACTCAAAGGGCTTTTAGCTGGCAATTTATGTTTATAGCCAAATGAGCTTTGCCTCAACTAGATTCTGGAAGCCCTACAAATTCATGGAAAAAGGATCATTTTTCAATCTCCATGACCAATTTTTGATGTGTCTGGTGCTGGCAGATTTCTCATCCATTGCTAGAGTTGTATGACATGAGGAAGCGTGCAGACAAACAGAAGCAAAAATTCAAGTACAGCCACCTCTCCGGTAAAGGCAAGAGGTCTTAGCAAGAGCTGTTCTACCCCCACCCTACCCTCTGAGACAAGGGCCAACGCAGAGCCCGGAACAAACGCTATTTCCTAGGATCTTATTGCTTATGCGCAGCACATCAGAAAGAACACCTGGAAATCTGCTCTGCAGATCTGGGAACTGACCAGTTTATCATACATATGTGTATATATATATATAATATATAACATAACCAGATGAGAAGAGGGGGCAGTTAAAGCTTGGACTGATGTAGCATTACAGATCAAATGCCCCCAAATAGCTCTCAACCTGCTGGTTTCTGTTCTTTCTCCATGTGTGAACTGTGTTATGAAAGTAAGTCCACTGCTCAAAATATATCCTTCTACAATACTACAGTGCAGACCAACACCACTCAGAACATGAATCTGTATACAGCACACGTAATAAATATTTTTAAAAAACTATTTACAACATTACTTCTTGCGAACATTAGATGAGAGCAAAATCTATTTCCTCCTGCAAAGGTTAAAAAAGTGTTGACTGTCTAGTTCAGTGCTAAATTCCCTGGCACCTAGTTACCCATTCACATTTCATCTTAAAATCAGATTTGCTTACAAATAGTATCTTAGAAAAAAACATTCTCCAGCATTACTGTTCAAGTGTCCTCCTCATTTGTTAGAAAAGACAAAGGGAGGCCATAAGAAAATATGCAAATTATGGTTCAACTGGAGGACAAAACCCCCTGTGTGCCCAGTCCCAAGCGCTCTGCAGTCCTGGAGCCGCAGTTCTCAGTCCAGCCAGCTGGGTGGAATGAGAATCATGACTCAGACAGAGGTGCCCAGGAATGGGGCACAGGGAAGAGGAACATGATCATAAAGCCATCAGTTCCATTACATCTAGGGGTGCTCTGAATCGCAGACCAAGACTCCTGAGAAGTAAAGCTGAATACATCTGAGAACAGAAGGTCTCATTCTGTAACCACGGGTTACAGGTGGGACTGGCCCACATCTGCACAGATGCTTGCTGAGACAGGGAAAAGGGGGAGGAGGGAGAGCAAGTGGAGGAGGAGGAGGAGGAGCTGAGGTGCTCTCGAGTACTGTCAAGGTGCAGAAGGAAACACGCTTATCTCCCATGGTTAATGAGTGTGAATAGGTGTACGTCTTTCACAAACATGAGAAAGACTACAAAATACCTTAATGCTTTCTTTAGGCAACCAGTGGTTTCTCCATATCCCACAGGTATGGGTTTGGATTTCCTTGGGGTTACAACTAAGGCTCATTTCGCTGCACAGGCGGTTTGGACAGTCAGAAGGTATCAACTGTGCATGCAAAACGTGGGCTGCTTGAGGCAAGCCCTGATGTCACGCCTGGCACGGCCGTACCAGTGCTGGGAGACCCACTTTGCTCTGGGACGGGATGACACTGGGGGGAAGCACTCAGGTTCCCAATCCACATTGCATATGCCCAGAGTGAGGGTTTCAACGCCGCACCCTCTGCCTTCACTACGTTGTCTGAGGGTTCAATGAATGAGCATGGCAATTGGGGAAGATGGGTGGCTAGAAAGAACACTTTTTTGGAAAGCCCTTTTGACAGTTAATTTTTTGTTGTTAAAATAAATACTTTCTATAGAAGCATTTGAACAGGAAAATATCACTATTTACACAGTGAAATATATTCCACAGTGGTGTGAATAACTATGTATTATATAACATATTTGAAACCACAGTCAATAACACAGTCTCCTAGAACACTGGTGAAACTAATACCCTTAAGCTACAGTGGCTCTAAAACGAATCCCTATATGTGGTATAAATATACAAAATTATGCAGATCTTGTTTGTAGAGCATCTTTCCCACAAACTACCTCCCAAATACTACAGCTTCAGCTGCAAGACAGCATGAGGTGCAGATTATAGAAAACAAGTGGGCTGAAAAAGCTGATAAACTGAAGAGCATCTGGACCCAATGGCTAAATTCTAGAAGGAAAATAAAGAGTTACGGAGAAAGAGGCTTCTAGTATGACACGCCTGTGGTCAGTGACATGCTCGGGAGATGAGAGGGCGTCCCCGAGAAGACACCTCCTGGAAGGGGGCAGGGTGGCCTGAGCAGAAGAGGGAAGAGGCGAGGTGTCAAGGATGGTCAGAGAGCTCTGCTCTTCTTCAGTCTGCAGCTGCTGGTGTGCCAACAAGGTGCCATCAACATGCTGGTGTTTTTAAGAGAGCTGAGAATGGCCAGGCTGGATTCAAGGTTCAAACAGGCACAGGCCAGCCAGTTATATTCACAAGTAGTGACCAAAGCTGGGGGAGTGAGCTTGCAAATATGCTGTATACAAAAAAGAAAAGGAGGGCTCTAAGGGGTAAAAGGAGCCCACCTGTGGTGGCCAGGAGAGGCACTATCTCGGCTTTAGGTCCATTACTAAATCTGTTTGCCATAGAGGAAGACTTAAGAGACTTTGTAAGAGACTAAGAGTAGTTTTAACTACTTATCCTAGTAGGTAAGGTCACGATTCAACAAATATTCAATCAATGAAGGGGGATATTTTTTTTTCTTTACTGCACAAGCATTACTCAGAAATAACATGCAACAACAGCTGTGTGCTGAGATGAACTGGCAAGACACCCTCAAACCTAAAAGGACAGAAATGGTGCAAGGCTGGATTACAGGAAAAACCTTTGTGCCTGTCTGCATAACTGACCTTGAATGACATACTACAGGGGTCAGTAAACCTTTTCTGTAAATAGCCAGGTGGTGGATATTTTATATTTTAGGCTGTGTCAGCTACATATGGTCTCTGTTACTCTGGTTTCTCTTTAGATCGCATAAATCTTTCACCTGTTATTTTTTTTTTTTTAATATAATCCTTTAAAAAAAAAAAAGGTAAAATGCATTCCTCCAACCTCCGGCATATTAGAAAATGTTTTTAAAAAAACCTGTTTTTTGCTGCTGCTATTGCTGTTTTATGGGCCATCTGTACTTCTACGTACCTTGCCTACTGCTGAGCACCTTGTGTGACGTGGACTGGCCTCAGGCAGGGGAGAAAGCCTCTGTGCACCACTGTGCTTGCCAGGGGGGCATAGCTACACAACTGCCCCTCTGAACACCGAAGCTAAGGATGTCTCCTGAGCACCGAGCATACACCACCGGCACGCTGGGAAAGGGAAGGACAGACAGACAGGAGGTAATGGAAGGAACTGACCAGCGCCAGCTCAATTCCAAGAGCAAAAGCATGAGCAAGCATACCCTCTGCAGAAGCGCCCCAGGTGATCCTCTAGGTGCCCCCAGCAGAACATGGCAAAGCCCTAAGTCGGAAGCAGTATCAGAGAGCTCTGGGTTCCTGCCTGAGTATGACTTAATATCTTTAAAGGAAAGAGGTCAGACCCTCAAGTCTTCCAACCCGTCCACTGTAGAACAAAGCAGCTTGTTCTGACATTTCAAGGGATGAACTGTACTGAAGGTTGCCTCAAAAGGCTTTTCACAATTCTGCTTGTTTTAAATACAATAATCTTTTTATTTTCATTTTTTTCCCTGAAAAAGGATTTGGGAGGGAAGTATGTTTACTGCTGGGAGGTGAGGACTGCCTTGCCAATGTGTGATACCTAGACATGATTTCATACTTGTAGGAAAAATTTGCAGTATTTCAGTGGACATCAAGCCATAAGAAGACAAAAATTAATAGCTGAGAAGTCAAAATAATAATTATCTGTTTCAAAATAATTGAAACAATCACTGTTCTGGGGCCACTGACAGAAATTTTTTCACTGACATGACATTCAACTTCATTTGTAGCACAGTATAGAAGCTTATTCTTGAGTTGTGCGGGAGAGGGAGGACCAACAGCTTGGAGGTTGACTGGATTTGATCCAAAGATACAATCTACAACTTCTCAGTTATACTCAGGTTCTAATATGCTCCAATTTTCTGTTCTTTTCTAAAAGCATGTTCAAAGCAAGCCCCTATTTTTTATTTGTTGGCTTGCCTTTAATAAAGTTATTTTGAAAGGAGAGTATGTGACTGAAAAAATATCAGTACTGATACATTTTTATTTTCCTAGAAGCTGGCCAAAAACATTACATAATAAAAATTTTGGGTTAGTGACTGGACTTTATTTTTCTTCTGTGAAAAGGCTTTTTCTGTATCTAAACATGTGGCTCAGAAAACTGAACCTTCAACTGAAGTATCCTCAACTAATTTTGAAAACAAAAACAAAAACAAATCCTGGCTTGCCTCAGTAACACACAAGATGTGAAGCCAGAGTCAGGTCTGAGATAAGGACAGAGGGAAATGAGGGGCCAGGGCTGCACTGAGAACTCTGAAGCCCTCTTCGCCTGTGGGGCTGACCCTAGAGACTACCGGCGGCCTCACTGCGGCCAGCGATGGGCGGCTCAAAGAGGGGAGGTGTGAGGCTGCGGTAGCTCGAGTGTCAGGAGGCAGGGTCCAGTGTGCTCTAACAACACATCGTGTCTCTTCTGTAGCAAGGAGACATAAAGAAATGTGAAAGGAAGAACAAAACTAAAGGAAGGGAAGGAGGAGAAAGAAGAAAAGAAAAGAAGAGGACGGCGGGGGGCAGGCAAAAGAAAGGAGAAGATAAATCAGGCAAAATTTGTTCCTGAAAAAGGATGATTTTTCTTAAACAAGGAGGGTCAGCACACTTTTTCTGAAAGGTCCAGACAGTAAATCTTTCCAGCTTTGCAAGCCATAGAGTCTCTGTTGTAGACACTCCACTCTGCTGGAAAGTAGCCACGGAAAGTACGTAAACAAACGGGCATGGCTATGTTCCAATAAACTTCTATTTACAAAAGAGCGACCAGCCCGTATTCTGCAGACCCTTGAGAGAGCGTCTGCAAAAAAGATAGCTCGCGTGGGCTGACAGGAAACCAACAGGAACAGGGGTGGCTCCTGGGCGCAGCACCTCGGGGAACTCCAATACCCAGGCGCGGTGACAAGCCACCAGACTTGCTGGTGGTGACATCTGCATTGTGTCGCATGCTGTCCTTTCCTCCTTAGCAAGATCTTAGGTCCTTCAATCAGCAAGACGTCGCCCAGAGAGGAAAGTGACAACTGTAGCCCTCACTACGGAATCCACCACAAGGCAGAAAAGAGACCAAACTTCAGTTCAAAGCAACTGTCTTGAAGTGATGTGTTTCACTGATGTCCTATCTGAACAGTGAGAGATGCACAGAGGAGCCCATCAGGAGCACCGCCTCTGTGAAGGGACTGCGACCTGCACCTCTCCTATCCATACTACTGCAAGAGCGAAACCCACAGCCCAAGATTCTTGTTTTTAGATAAGGCTTGTGTAGAAATCTTTACTGAAATAGAGATGCAACAGAATTGGCCTCCCTACGGGATCCAAGAGACTAGCAATTGCAGATTAACAGACACCAGTGACATTCCTATGCAGGATGCCTTAAGAGCAGAAGAAAGGTTCCCTGCCTCCCTGCTGTGCTGCAGACTGCCAGGGGTTTGAGGGGGTGCTGTGGGTGAGGCTCTGGGCCCTGACTAGGGAGGGTCTCCATGTTGTCCTCCCAAACCCAGGGAGCCTTAGGGGCTAGGAAGTGGGACTCGAAGACGGGTCTCCCGAAGAGGGCCCAGCTCTGGGGAGCTAAGGTAGAGCTTCAGTGATTGCTCCCCAGGGCCCCTGCAGCTCTCCCAGAAGCTCAGAGGTAATACCAGAGTTCTCTGGTCAGCAACTTCAGGTCCATTGCTGGGACAGTCACTGTACTGAGTATAGGCCCAGGAGCAGAATTCTTTTGTGATTTGGAATCTGGAATGTGGGGACCCACTGCCTTTGCATCTGGTGGCCAGCCATACTGTGAACATGGAAGGAGGTCTTTGCAAGACAGGGAAAGCAAGGGGGGACTTGAGTCATCTGGCTTGGAGATGTCTAGGAGACAGTTTTGCCAGCCTTGGCTGTAAGTGTAAAAGGGCGTTCCAGAGCCAGCCCTCAAGTTCATTTTTTTTCCTTTCTTCTATTAGCAAAATTAACTGAATCAGCAAAAAGGAGATTCAACAAATATAAAAATACTTCTAAACTTTTAAGTGTTCTAATTATGTAGAATCCCAGTCTATTTAAGTGTTGTTACTACTATAAAATGTAAGTTGATTTTAAAGATGATCCACAGCAGTGTAGTAAAAAAAAAATGCATACAAATTGATACCTTTTCTCAAATGCTGCCTAAAATGGGAGAAAAGGCTATTATCTTGAAGTACGCTTTTTAAAGTGAAAAAGAACTTAGAAAAGTAATGGAATGAGTTAATAAGCCTGGAACTGGAAGGGCTGCACCTGCTCACTGCCTTGGACCTCTCCCTAACCTAATCCAAGCACCACTACAAGGTAGTCGGCATGCAGCTAAGGGGGGCACCTACAACAAGTACAGGAGTCAGCACACGTGACCTCGGCACCCCTCAGCTGTTTAAGTCACCACAAAAACAGTATCCAGTGACAACTATATGAAAATATTTTTTAAAAACTTTAAAACCACTTTTCAAAGATTAACCGAACCTACTGAAAACATACTAATGCTTCTGTGCAACTTAATGCTGAGAAAGGGCTGTCCAACATACACACTCAGCAGTTTCATTAATATAGGTAGCTCTTGAATGGCCAAAGTCGAAGATATTAAAATGAAAAAAAGAGGCTCATGGGATAGAGGAGACATGGGGGGGGAAGTCAAGGCTTCACTGAAGATAGTCTATGAAATTCAATACAATTCTCAATTTCCCATGAATCAAACATTTCTCTCCAGTCCTATCCAGTCAGCAGAAGTTCTCATTATATACAGCGAATCTTTAACAGAATGGGTAGAAGGCCTGTTTTATCATGACCTGACCAAACTATGCATGAAAAAAGTCCATCTGGGTTTACCTAAATACATCTGAACAATCTAAAATGGAATTTTTTTAGTAAAAAGGACAGAGTAGCACCTGTCCAGATAAGCTTACTTCTGTGACAGAGCACAGTAGAGAGGCTGGCTGAAGTTCTAACAACCAAGGCTTTTCTGTAGAGTGGCTCAGGGGAGATGCTGAGTACACACTGTGTTATAATGGAGCAATGTCATAGGCACCAGGGTAAAACCAGTGCAACCACCTCAGGCGTCACTCGGGAAAGGCAAACAACATTAGTTACAAACACTACAGCTCTCACTTTCGAGCCAAGGAACAGAGCCTGACATGATATAGGCAGGAGTGATACCACAAGCATTAACTACCAGGATGGTGCTAATCAATCAGAATGCGAACACCCACTCTACACACGTACATCCCCACTGGGACACGCCAATTGAACACCAACTCCAGATGGGAGGAGGGGTGTGGGCTCGCTAGGAGATGCCGGAGCTGTCTCCTCCCACTACAAGGTCGCTCTGACCTTTACATAACTGCGCTGTTTAGACCTTTCTGAGTCTGGTGCCAAACTGGTTTTGCGGATACTCACAGAGACCCTGGGCCACATTTAAACCATCTGGCCTGTGCTAATTACCCAGCTCATGAACACCTTAACAAACTGTATGGGGAAGAAAGAATTTTACTGTAGAACTGCGGCTGGGAGACATCTGTGGCTAATAACCACAGGCAAATGCGCCCAAATGCACATGCACACACAAACTCTGAAACTTTTCTATTACTGAAAACAACTTGGCTTTCTTTGAATATGGAAGTATTCAGGGTAAGAAAGAATATTACAATAGTCACTCTCATCCTAATTGTCAAGTTATAGTTACAAGATGGAAAAAAAAATCCTACATTTTCCCCCTCAAAGTCAGGTGAAAACCTTGTTAGAGTGCTAGCAAGCTTGCAAGGCCAAAAATGAAAAGGATGGTAAGAATCAGTAATGCAAGTCACCTGGGGGGTGTAAATAAATTTTAGAGGTCACAACCCAGTATTAACACCTTGTGACACATCTTTTGTCCCATGGGCACATAATTTAGAATACATTTTTTAAATGACAGAAGGCCAAAAGTGAGAGGAGTGACCAATAATGAATATGATTTTTTAAAAAAGGGGTAACAGAAATATTCATCTTTCATAATAATTATAAATTCCCTCTGCAATCTCCACATACCATAAAAATGATTTGGTTTAGCTTTCGAATATCATTTAAACAAACAAGACACAGAGGGAAGTTCACTGCTCGGGTTTGCAAAGAGGAGCATCTGTTCAGGTACAGACACTGCAGGATGGCTGCTGAAAAGCTACTTTTATGTGCATGATGGTGGTCTTCTCGGCTACAGTACAAGTGCTTGTGCATCAAGTATAAAATACAAGCCTTTAATCACATAGATCAGCTTTTTAGCTTTTGTAAATTTAAAAACAAAAAGGATAAATAAGGCACTGTACTTTTAAAAACTAAAACTGCTTGGTTCCAAGTTTAAAACCCAAGGAACAACCAGAATATAATATATAACTTCCCTTACTCAGCCTCAGAGAAAGACTGCAAGTTCCCTTCTCCATCTAAGATGCACTTTCTGACATCTTCAATGGTGGTGTTCTCCGTTAACTGCAGATCTCAAAGGCCGGCTGAGCTTATAAAAGCAGACTTAGTTAATGCAAAGTGAAGGGTTACTTTCTGTAGGACAGTTTAGCTCGTGGCTGCCAGCCTTCCGATCACTTCACATCCAGCCGTCTCCGTTTGCCGTGACAAGAGTCCAGCTTTGCCTTCAGCTTTCGCTTTCTCTGGGCCGCACTGCTCTCTGGGGTTTTTTTCGTCAAGGGTCTGGCCCGAGTCTTTCCACTGCTCTGCTTCCTGTTGGTGGCTTTTTGTGGCCTTGAAGAGGATTCACCTGCCCCCTTTTGCTTTGCAGGTTTCGTCCCTGTCTCCGGGGCAGCGGGCTGTGTGGGTCTTTTGTTTGTATTCTCTTTTTCCCTCCTGGACGGAGGGCAGCTCTTCCCAGGAGACTTCTTAGCGGTCTTCAGCTTATTCTCTTTCAAGGATGTCTTTTTGGGCAGCTGGCTGATTCGGTCCCTCACAGCTGGCTTCTTGGCCGCAGGGGTTCTGGTGGATCCATCGGCATGCTTGTCTTTGCTGGCTTTCACCACAGGGGACCTTCCTGTGTCCTTCCTGTCCTGAGTGCCGCCGCTTTCTGTCCTCTTGCGTTTATTCTGCACTTCTGCTTTCGGCAAGATTTCAGACATCTGCTTCCCTTTCCTTCCCTTCATTCCATCAGTACTCCTGGGCTTAATAGGAAACCCATCTGCATCCACTTGCAGGGCAAGCTTGGGGGACATCAGCGGGTTGATGCATACACTCTTACAACTCTGTTTACTTTCCACAGCCTGCCCGAACGGGCTTTCCATTTTCTCATTCTTGATCAAACATTGCTGGGCTCTGAGCTTTCCTCGAATATTGGAATATTTTCTAAGGATCCGGGTACTGGCTGGGGTAGGTGAGTTTGTGGGAAGATGGCTATTTCGACTTTCTTTGACTTCCTCTACGCTGTCTTCAGAATTGGGGCTGAGGCTGATATCACTGCCATCCTCTGGCTCCACCTGGTCAGGATTCTCTCGAAATTTGGCCCAGAGCTTCTGTGTTTTCCAATTGTTCCTAGCAGGAGTAGCTCCGGGAAATTTCTTCAAGTGTTTTTTCAAGCGTTCAGCCTGCAGTGAACTGGGGTACAGGCTGGAAGGAGAGTACTTCTGAAGAGGATGCTTGACAGGGGGAATATCTCCCGGAAGACGAGTATTGAGCTTCTTCACAATCACCAGAGACCGGGTTTCAGTTGTCTCTAAGAACCATTTGCAAACATTAGATAATTTAAAGTTTGTCATAAACAGCATCTGAACAGGAGAAAACTTTTGAACCTCCAATGAACCCCTACATTTCCGTGACCTTTTCTTGCTTTTCCAAATCTCCTTCAGTTTATCTGACTTGTTCCTTGATCTTGGTGTTGGCTGGGCTTCTTTCTCCAGCTGGATCCAGCCTTTCTGAACTCTTGTGTACTGTGCATTGAAGTTGGCAATAAGCTCTTGGTTCTCCTCCTCTGCGCACCATTCCACAAACTTTGGCTGGTCATCTACCACCGTGTCCACATCATCCTCGTCTACACGATCTCCACTCTCTGAGGCTTCATTTTCCTTTGGCATTGGGTTTCCTTGAGCTGCTTCCTTTTCTGAAGTCATTTTTGCAGTATCTGAGGAGTCCAGAGAATGAGTGTGTCTTAGGTTGTAGGTTGAAGAGGTCAATCTTGTAAGCCTTGGTACCCATTTTGGGGGCCCAGCGGCATCACCACTTCTGCTACTTGACAACCCAGGTGCACTGGACGGTGGGTCACTATCGTCATCTTTCCGCTGGGCGTTTGCAGTGCCGACCTCATTCGCAACCCCCTCCGGATCTTGTGCAGGAATTGGTTCTGGCTTCTCTTTTGATTGTTCTGGGAAAGTACAAGGAATACCTTCTGAGGGGTCATGAGCATTTTTCTCTCCTAACTTAGACTGAACATAGATTTCCAGTCTCTCTCCAGGCAGGGGCTGGCCAACTGTGGTTATGGGATCACTGCTGGGGAAAATATCTCCTTCTTCCCCCTTGACTTCTTTTGCCAGCATGTTTTTATAAGTCTGCCTGGTGATGATCCCACCTCCTTCGCCCTCCTGCTCAGCGTCTTTCTCAGAGGGATTTTCATCGACACCTGGGTTTTCAGTGTCCTCCAGACCTTTTGTATGGAAACCGTCAGCCAGAAGGCCCTCTGATGCTGTCTCGCCAGAGTACCCTTCCTTTTTAGAACGTTTCATACCAGGATTTTTAGAAATCTTGATCTCAGGACAAGTAGAGGAAGAATCTGAACTTTGACTTCTTAGGCACCTATCGGCAGAGGAGGGATCTGAAAGCTGACTCCTCAGGCACCTGTCAGAGGCCTCAGGGAGTTTTTTACCTTTTTTCTTCTTGTCCACATTCTCTTCAGGGGAGTCAATGTTTTGATCACACATACCTTTTTCTGAAGAATGTTTTACATCACTGCCCTGTCCCTCTGATTTTCCTGTACCACCTGCTGCCTCACTGTCCTCAATTTTGCTGGGGTTTTCATTAGTAAAAGTGCTGCTTTCCTTCAAGAGTGGGTCAGTATCTAGCTCCTGAGTGTCTTCAGTCTCGGCCTCGGTACTGATGCTTTGGCTGTCTTCAGCTTTTCCCAGGCTCAGGGGAGGCTCCAAGCCCACTGGGGGACTCTGACTTTCTGAGCACAGAGGACCTTCCTCTCTACTGACTGTTTCAGGAGAAGAATGAGGTCTAGAAACAACTTCACTGCCTCCCTCAGAAATGCTCTCAGTAGAGGAAATCAGGTGACAGTCTTGGGTGACAGTCCCCTCCTTGATATCCAGCAGTTCAACTGGTTGTTCGTCTCGTTCAGGGGAAGCCATCCCACTTGCTGTGGGAGTTGAGACCATGGAGCTGCCTTCTGGAATGTCCTCTTCGGGAAGGTGAGCAGGGAGACGCGACACCAGGCTGGAGGCTGTTGTTTCCTCTGACCTAGGAGAGCTGTTCGGATTTGGTTTATTTGTCATGGGGCAGACCTCAGGCTCTTGAGACTCCTTTTCAGAGGAAGCTTCTCTTTCTCCTTCCTTGAGGGAGGTTATTTCTTTACTAGGTTCCTCATGGTCGTCCTCTCTGGGATGCTGTATATCCACTGCAGGTCCAGGGGCTGAACGTGGAAGTGTCTGCCTGGGAGTGACCGCTCCCTCTGCTTCTGCCGGTGAACAGCTCGCCTTTTCTTGGGGGTGCAAATTTCTGGCCAGTGTGCGAACAGTTGGCAGCTCACAACAATCACCATTGAAGAAGTACCCTCGAGTACTCTTCCTGGCTGTTTTTCGAGAAGATAATATTGATCTCTGATTCTCCAAGTGGCATTCTGTTATTGGCTGACTGATATAAACGACATCACACTGGTTATCGTAATCGTTTATCCTCAACCCTGATGCCCTTTTACTTTTCCGAGCTGTCTTAATGGAGGCTGATATCATCTTGGTTCGCGAATGTCCATTAGATGCTTTGTGTATGGCTGGCAGGGGGCTGGGGGCTAACCAACCATCTTTGGAATGATCAAACTGACCCTTATCACTGGGATGTAAATGATAACTCACCTTATTTCTTCCTAGTGAGTGAAGATGGTTCTCTTGCTTTGGCCTTGAATCTTGTTCACTGGACTCTAACTCTTGGCGCAAAGGTGTTTTTGAGCTACACAGTAAAGCATTCTCTTTGTCAGCAGTTCTAGGTGAATTCCCAGTAAACCCTGAGTCCCAAGCCTCTTCTGATAAAGCTTTGAATGAATTTCTTTGAGAAACAATACAGCTGTTGCTTTCTTCACTATTCTCAGCTGCCACTTTCACTGCAATCAGACTTTCTACTAAAGCTGAGCTCTGCATATGGTCTTTCCCCTCCTCACATATTTTCACATTTGTGTCTTGCTGCTGTCCAGTGGTTTGCCCCTCCAAGCTCTTAGAGATGTGGTGGAAGCTTAATGAGGAAGAATTAGATGTGGTGAGGTATCCCAGACTGGAACTATCCGTTGAACTACCAGAATTAGGTTTAGTGGTTGGAAGTTCAGAGGAATCTTTCTGGATAATAGTCAAGGCATTCTCTCTTCCATCTACAGAGTTTGTCTCAGGAGGAGGCTCCCTCAGGGCCTGTTCTGTCAAGTGTGGAGGGCTGTGTGAGCCTGATGAGTCTACAAACAAATCTACAGAAGTAGGAGACATCATATCGAGACGTGCAGCATCCTTTTCCTTATGTCTGGTGCCTAGCTGGGCACAGCCAGCATTGCAAGTGGATGCATCCATTGCTCCAGAATCAGGTCGCAGGTCCTCGGTGCCCGGCTGGGATTCAGTGTACAGATCGTTCAGGACACGGATGAACTGCTTCTGATGATGAGTGCACAGTTTGACCATAAACTTCTCCAGTGGGGACTTCGACTGATTGTTAGAATCTACTGCTATAGCTTCTGTTGAATTCTCACTAGACAGACAAAGAGAAAGGAGAAATTAGTATGGTCATTTTCCAAGGAACATTTTTACATTATGAAATTCACCAGATGTTACTCATGCTATAAAGAGAATGAACAGACACTCTAAAACTGCTTCTAAGTGCCCTGTATAAATTTGATTTAATAAATAAGGAGTATTTACCTGATTACAATATAAGACCAGCCCCGAAATATTCTCAAATTTTAGTAACACCCTTCATACTTTTTAAGTGATCATTCGCAATAATTTTTATCTTCTAGAGAAGAAATATCACTGAAAAGAGTTTTTCAGAAAATAAAATTTTGGCCACATTATTAACTCCAGTCAATCAACATACACTTTCGTTTTAGGCCTGGGTATTCCTGTTAGTAAACAGTCATTGATTTATAAGTCCACAACACTGACAAAAATTCAGACGCACTACATTACAAATTTCGGACTTAGAGAAATTATAGTTTTAATTTTTCTCAGCATGACTAATTGGCTAGACTTATAATTCTGCAAACAGTAATGCAGGAATTCTTCTGCCCCCTTCCTGGGGCAATGAGAAATGGAGATTGGTAATTTCACATTTCAGACACAACGACAGAAGGAGTTGCAACTACGGATTCCTGGGTCTAAGCAAGGAAACAGGAAATCCTGCAATAAACTGCAAGGTTCTGTCACTGCAAGGAGGCAGCAGGATGTCTTCTCAGTCAAGCCCCGCCTGCTACATTCTCCTAGACCTTCAACGAGCATTTTACAGTACTTCACAAGTCATTCTATATCAGACAACCACTTCCATAAGTTATCCAGGACAACTCTGAAGTTTAACCTGGACAGTGGAAGGTGGCGGGCAAGGATGATACTAGATTCAAGACAAACTAAAAGCAATTCCCACATAGACAGCCGAGTGTTTTCAAGAGCTGCTCTGTGTTTCTGAATGTCTGGGTTTTACTAAGCCCAAGCAGTTGGAGAGCTCCATTTTTTAAAAAAAAGTATTCATTTGAGAGAGAGTGCGAGCGCGCCGAAGTGGGGGGAAGGGCAGAGGGGGAGGGAGAAGCAGGTTCCCCCGCTGAGCAGGGAGCCTGACGCTGGGTTCCATCCCAGGACCCTGAGATCATGACCTGAGCTGAAGGCAGATGTTTAACTGACTGAGCCACCCAGGCGCCCCATCCAATTTTCTGGAGTTTTATACAACCTCTCAATTTCTCTCTCTCTGGACTATAATTCCTCAGGAGACTATTATCTGACTATGAAACTGTCAGGGCACTGAGAGCAGCTTAACACACACGTGTTGAACATGTTATTTGATAGTATCTTCCAGCTAATTCATCTGTTCTTCAATCTCTGACTTTATCTCCCAGCCATGAGATGCCTTCCCAGGAAGGCTTACCTTAGACAGCCTACACTGGCCTCCTGCCTTCTTCACCCGCCTTGTCGCTATGCCTATCAGGTGGTACCAACAGCGTAACATGTGTAACAGGATACAGTGCTGTGAGATGGTAGTGAGTCTTTTGCCACTTACTAGTTGTGTAACCTTGGCCAGAACACTTAACCATTTTCGGTCTTAACAGAGCATGTGCCCCTCTTCCACTTAGGATTAGTGCAAAGGAAAACCTATGAAGTTATCAGTTACCATTACTGTCAGCCAATCACGTTAAACACATTTCAATAAAGAATAATTCAGAGAGGGCACCTGGGTGGCTCAGTTGGTTGGGCGACTGCCTTCGGCTCAGGTCATGATCCTGGAGTCCCGGGATCAAGTCCACATCGGGCTCCCTGCTCAGCGGGGAGTCTGCTTTTCCCTCTGACCCTTTTCCCTCTCGTGCTATCTCTCATTCTCTCTCTCTCAAATAAATAAAATCTTAAAAAAAAAGAGAATAATTCAGAGATGTACACTAATGCTTTCTTACAACCTAAAGTGAATTTTCCACATAAAGTTTATACTTCAAGCACCGAACATTAAAATTTTAAAAGTATTTTTGATGGAAGTCTTTTAAAAATTATATCCTCCTCTGAACACAATTTATTCTTTCTTAGTGACTCAGGGTTGTTACCATGTTCACCATTATTGAAGTTTAGCTGAGTTTAGCTGTTACTTATGTTTTTGAGAGAGAGAGAGAGAGCGTGCACATGCGAGTGGGTGGGGAGAAGGGCAGAGGAAGAGAGAGAGAGAGAATCTTAAGCAGGCTCCAAGCCCAGTGTGGAGCCCGACAGAGGGCTTGATCTCATGACCCTCAGATCATGACCTGAGCTGAAATCAAAAGTCGATGCTAACCTACTGAGCCACCCAGGCATGCCACAGCTGTTAGTTTTATTATACTGAACTAAAATATATTGATAGCTTTGGGGGCTATTCAATTAAGTAAATCTGACTGCCTTAATACAAAAAAGTCACACTGGCAGTCTGTATGTTATTAAAATCTTTCTTCTTATTGGCTTCCAAGTAGCAGCTGTGTTTAGAAGCCTTACTTCAAGTGCTAGACTGGTACTTTAGGTAAAAATAAAGACTCTGAATGAAGGTTTCAGGAATAGTTTTATGAATAAAATGCATGGATTTTCTAACAACTTCAACTGCTCAATGGCCTTTATTTCTCTTTTTGGTTTTTGGATGTGTTCCTGATGTTTCTGAAGAGAGGTGACTATAAATAAGTGGGATATCACTACCTTTTCAATGCATCAAAAAAGTGCATTTTAGTAATACATGAAAAAGGTAAAATAGGTTGATCCAAGTTTATGAAAAAGATAAAGCATCTTACTGCAGAAAAAAACTGGAGATAAATGGTTCTCTCCAACTCAAGAAGCACAATCATCACCAAAGTGTGAAAATCTTCTGGACACTGCTCCATGCCTATGGCTTTGCTCTGGAAAGCATGTTTTAGTATTTGGGGTTAACAATATGCTTACAGATTAATGAAATCAAGATGTGTACCCAAAAAGAGGAGAGAGTGCTCTGAAAGAAATTGAGAAAGCACTTTCTTCTAAAGTGATGCTCACACAGAATAAAAAACTGAGTAATAATTAATCCACGGGTGAGATCTAACCTCTCTTATGGTTGTGAGACATCTGCTGCTATTCCATGTTTCAATAATTTAACAGTGCTTCAGTATTTTAATTAGCTTCAACTAATGTAAGATTGTCCAAAGGGCCATGAAACCATCCCTGAAGCAATGGTTGTGGCAATATGGCTTAATTAGTCCTGAAAGAACAGACAACTACAGGTAGGTATGAATCTGTTTCACAGCACTACAGAAAGGGGATGTGGGGTCTTCACAACAAAGGCATATATATTGCAGAAATATCAGAACCCACTGAACGCTAACCTGGAACAGCAGTATAGCATTTATGAAAAACAGCATCAGAAGGGGAGTCCAGGAGATGAAAAGATTAAAACTGCAAACGGCAACCTTGATTAAAAGAAACAGACATCAGGGTGCCTGGGTGGCACAGTGGTTAAGTGTCTGACTTCGGCTCAGGTCATGATCCCGGGGTCCTGGGATCGAGCCCCACATGGGGCTCCCTGCTCGGTGGGAAGCCTGCTTCTCCCCCTCCCACTCCCCCTGCTTGTGTTCCCTCTCTCGCTGTCTCTCTCTGTCAAATAAAAAAATAAAATCTTTAAAAAATAAATAAATAAAAGAGAGAGACATCAACAAAGCGTCATTTGTATGTGTGCTTTCCTCGCAAAAAGGATCAGGGAGAATGTACTGGTGAACCACAGCTCATCAGAGCAAGAAGTAGGGAGCTCTTTATCAGTTGTATCCTGGGCCACCTCAAAACTATCCCCACCTGGAATGACTGCATCTTTTCCTGAAATCCTAGGCCACAGTGGTTTGTAAAATACATTGGCAATCACAAGGAATCATGTATATTTATCCTATACATTTTATTATCTTGTCTCTTTTACTGACTTGTCTTTGTCTTAGCTTTCCAAGCAAATGTAAGCTACTTGAGCTACTTGAGATGTAAACAACAAGGTAGGGATCACATTTCATGCTCTTCTGTTTTTTCTTAGCAAAAAAGAGGGGAGAGAAAAAAAGCATCAAGAATGCTTCCTGGGTTTTCTTCCTGGGCAGCTTCATTTGCTGAGATAGGAACACAGGGAATGAAGCTGGGGGCTGGTGATTGTTGCAGTAGGTATGTGTCTGATGAGTTCCTTTCTGTACACATTGAGTTGAGGTGTTTTTAAGATTCTGCATCTGAGATGTTTGGAAGACAACTGGACTGGTAGCTTCACTTGGATCTGAGAACCTTCACATTAATACTAACCTTTGCCCAAGTGTCATTAAATGGCCCTGTTATAATAGCTAACTTTATAACTATAGCAATAAAATCACTTTTGATTTTGCCTCTAACTTACCAAGCTTCCTACCTTGTTTTTCTCTAGAAATTTTCTCAATAAGATCTTAGGCTTAGACAAGTTTTAATTTCACATGATTTGAATATTTAATTTTAAAAAATTAACCTCATCTTCCTGAAATTTATTACAATTTTTTCATGTTTTTTTTTTTAAAAATGGGTGCAGTTTTTAAAAAACTGGCTAGTTTTTGCCTGAGTTTTAAACAGCTAGTCTTTACCTTTTGCTTCCAGTTATTCCATTTTTTCCTATAGTCTTAGGCCTTTGAGAGAGTCTAAATATGCATTTGCCCTGATTTAGAATATTCTCAGGCACTAAGGTAAAAAAGAGAGGGGCGAGCTTCTGTCCTGCAGCCCATTCATTCAACTCGACTGAAGGGAAAGCACTATGTTATAGTTCAGTGATTACAGTTTGGTATGATGGTACGCCCCTCACATCTGACTATGTAAGATCTTTACAAGAACAATAATTCATCACAGATTTCAAAATCGCTTGTTTGATTTCATGTTCTTTCTGCTCAAAAACAGGAGTCTGTAATAGTTAAGTAAATTATTTATCAATCAGAAATACTTCACCACCACTACAGAGCTGTAAGGTCCCAGGGACTGGTAAATGGGAGGTAGGGCTGTAGAAGAAGAGGGAAACTTGACTTCCAA